TAGGACGGTTAAGCCACTCACCAGTCACCTCGGAGAAAGCCGGGAGCGCCGGGTTGAGGCCAAGACCAGCAGCCTCGCGCTCCTTAGCCCAAACTTCTCCCCACGACTCCTCAGCGAAGAACTTTCCCAAGGAGGCCAAAGGAAGGAGCTGATCCTTCCTCGAAGCCGTCTTCCACTTCGAGCTCTCTGCCTCGACCAGGGTAACACCCTGAGCAGTGCTGACCTTGAGGCTGGTCAGCTGCAAGGAATCGGCGAATCGGCAGCTAGACCCTATGCACATCAAGAGGTGACCCGCAATGATTCGCCAATGGGGGTACGGGGACTTCAGGACCACGTACTCCAGGCCTTTCACCTGCTTCACTGTCAAAGGTACTGCCTGAACAAGCTTCCTCTTCAAGGAGTACATGCGCTGCGCAGCACCCTTCACTCTAGCGGACAAGGCCCCCAGAGCGTCCGGGCTACAGAGCTTCAAAGTGTGGACAGCGAAGTTCCAGGCCTGAAGGAAAGCCGAGGCGGATGTCGGCTTGCCATGTTCCTCGAGGTGCGACATGTATCGGTACAAAACCTTCTCGCCAGCCCCGAGCGGATTTCCCAGACCATTGTCAAAACAAAAGTTGGCAAACCTCCAAAGCGACGAGGCTCTCTTCACTAAAGTAGCTGTACTTTTGCCATGAAAGACATCCAAGAAGGTTCGCCTCATCTGATCGCCGTCTCGCAGAATCAAAGCCTCAGCCGCAAGTGACTGCCCCACCTGAGACAGCGCCGGGTCAAGCAAAACCAGCGTCCTGAACTTCCTCAGAGCCTCCCAGCGAGAACTGTCGTCTGTAGCCAGGAGAGCTGCAATCCTAAGACGCTCCCTTGCAAAGTTGGGCACCGGCTGTGGATGAACCAGAGGCACCCCCGCATCAACAGCAGATCCTGAATCGGGAGACAGGTCCCGAGGTAGCTCCAGACGCGGCCTCTTGAGTGGCCTGCCAAAGATCCAAGAAAGGGGACCCGTCTCCCAAGGGAGAAGAGGAGTCTTTCGAGACGCCTCGCCCACCTTTATGTGCCAAGAGAAGTCCTTGATGAGAAGAGACTGAGCATCCAGAACAAGCGGCCTCTCGGCAGCGACCAAGGCCGCATGAAATTCGGATGGCCCAAGCAAAGCGTCTGAGTTAGGCTGACCCGCCATATCCCAATTGAAAAGTCAGCAAAGGTCAAATTATGGCAGATCTGCGGCAGACTGTACGCCAGGCTCAAGAAACACCCGACAGGCAGACCTCAAGCTCTGAATAATCCCCTCCAGCCACGAGAGACGTTGGTGATGGCCGGTCTGATTCACCCAGGCACGAGCAAGGGACTCTTCCAAAGCCTGCAATGCGGACCTGAGAGTCTGGATTTCAGCACGGAGAGCGTTAACCTCCAATTGGAGCTCGTAAAGGTGCTGACTGTGAAGCTCGCGAGTGCTGGTAGAGTCCTCGGAACGGCCTGAAGAACCAGCGGCGAGGGCGTCGCCGAAGTTTCAGTCAACGGTCACTGCAATGTGTTTCCCAGCTATGTGCATGTGCTGACACGTGACCTACGGACACACTGAACTTAGGCCAATGGCTTTTGCACTCGAACAACTGATTCCACGCCAAAGTAAAAGTGTGACATGAAATCAAGAGCGCACAGGTTTTAAATAAGTTGTAAAAATTTGAAATTCCTACGTTTCGCGTCGCCTCTATGGGCGACTATAAATCAAAGACAACTCTGTCCGCCCGCGGAGAACGTCATACAAAAATGCTAGGTGAAACAGGAGCTGCGACATACAGACTTGGTCGGCGAAATCGTTCAGCTCTGATATATACACTGGCCCTCGGTTCACTGGCCCTGCTCCCCGTAAGACATGGGTCGCGCAATGGCCACCATCATCAAAATTGTCAGGTCGGTGGCAGTTCGCAACACAAGAGCAAAAGGTGAGTTGCCATGCGCCCAGCTTCCCTTCCAATGGGTCTCGCAAGGGCGAATCACTCATTCAGGGAGCCAGTGTCGTAGAGCAGCCCGTTACAAACAGGCCGCTGTATCCTGGGATGTCAGTGCCCAGCTTCCCTCACAGGGTCTCGCAAGGGCAAATAGAGAAGGAGCACCACAAGAGTGCAACTCCTCCACATCTCAATTCAATAAGGTATCGGAGACCGCAAGCGCGTTATGGGGAGTGCTTGCATCGGTTCCAAGTTGAAAGAAGGCGTAGTGCGCAAGTTAGACCAACCCAAGGTCCACGGCTGCGTACCATCCACTGCATCATGGACGGCCGACGCACGCAGAAAGTCAGTGCCCTCGTATAGTCCAACGACCGCTCGACAGGTATGGCGGGAGACCGCGGCGAGCGTCATCAATGCCTCGAGATCAACTTGGATAATAGTGGCGCCGACTTGGAAGCCAAGCCGAACCCATAGTTGGAGTCTGCGCTCTATTTGCCAACACACAAACACACACCTATCCAGGTATGCGGCTACCGACCGTTGGTATGCCGTCAGCTGTTGCTGAAAGGCAAGACCGGCCGTTTTGCGCTCTCGCGAGCCCACAGCACTCAATAGCTGCCGCGTAGCGACATTCGGCGGAGCGCAGTAGAGCAGCGAGAGGGGTTGAACAGAGACATAGGTGGCGACACGTAAGAGAGTGTTCTCTGATAAATCCGCCATGGCCAGGTATCTACAACCTTACGGAAGGGCAAGGCACATATGATGAGCCCAGCTGCACAGTTGAAAAGATGTCGAGCGTGTAGTGGAGTCACATGGCTGAACTAAGTCCGATGCAGGCGCAGGGCCCTAGCAGGCGGGTACGATCGCTGCCACCCGCAGATTCAACTTTTTGCAGCAATGACGCCGGTGGCCGCTGCATAGTCTGCGTCTCAAGCCGCGGAACTCGGCCGTGCCGGTTATCCCGCCGCCCGGGATGCCAGCTCGTACAGTGTCTTGGTCTGGGAAGATAGGTACTAAGATTACCCCCGCAGAGCTGGTCCTCGATTACCCTGCATTCGAGGCCCTATCGCGCCCAGCTTCCCGCTTCCCAATCGGGTCTCGCAAGGGCAGTGAACGTATGGTAAGGCCAGTCCTCGGAGATCGATGGACCCTTTGGGCATCCCGAGGGCCATGCAATGCAGAGCTGGGCGTAGGCTATGCCATAGCGTATGTGTCGTCACCATTGAACCCGGCAGCCGGTTTGATGCGTCATGGTGCTGCTCATGCTTGGCATCATTCAAGCAATGAGAGAGACGCCCGTTAGCACGCACATGGGCAGCCTGTCAAGCTGCCTCACTGGGGGCGACGCCAGGGTGATGATCAAGGTACGCAGGCAAAACCTGACAAGAGAAAGTGAAACCCCTAAACGGGGAGCACGGACTTGCCTTGGGGAGCGCAGCACGAAAGGTGGTGGGGCAGAGCAGTGCATCCCAGCCAGCCTAGCAGTTTTGCTCGAAAGCAACGAAGGGCCAGTGCAAGCCAGGCATGCTGGCAGCCCTACACCGACCCTACTCCGTGCTTGCAGTCCGGCCACCCGGTGCAGGGGCACATACCCCGTCCACAAAGGGCAGGCGTGTAAAAGGTAGTTCCCCCCCCCGTTCGACAGAAAAGTAGGGCAGCCCCCACCGAAGGACCACGGCTGCAACTCAATAAAAACCTCCTGAATGGCTGGTGTTCGAAGGAATGCCGCTTGCTGGAGGGACTGAGAGACTAGCTCGTAGGCCTCCCGAGACACCGCACCGATGCCAGCGTGACAACATGCTCTAGATCAATTTGTTCCAAGGTGGCCCGCACATGAATGCCGAGTCGTGCAGGAACCTGAAAATCGTGCGCCACCCGATAGCTGTAAAGGTTGTACTGTGCGAGGTGCACTTCAACTCGGGAATAGTGGGCATCATACTGGCGCTGGAGCAAAATGCGGGCAGCTCGGCGTTCCTGTCGACCGACAGACCTCATGAAGTGCCGGGTGACGTCACATGGCGGTGTTCCAAAGAGGGCTGAGATCCGTTGTGGGACAATCCACAAGGAATGACTGCAACCAACAGGAAGTCCGGCAGTGCCTCCATGACGGCGCTGAACTGCGGCTACGTCGTCTGGCTACTTGCCCTCCGCTAGTGAAAGAACTTTGCAAGATGAGCCAGGTACACCACTGAAAAGGGGGCTCATTAGGACACCAGCTGCTGTGGTAGGCCGACTAAGGTCAACCATCGAGCTGTCGGTCGTCCACGCACCTTATTATAGGCGGACATTAGGCGCATGTCGCGCCCAGTAGCGTTCGGCAACCTCCCAAAGTATCCTGCGGAAGTGACGGTGATCTTCCATTTGTTCGTCATTTAAGGCGTATTGAAAATTCCACTCTCCATTATCCAAGCGCTTCTTAAGCTGGCGCCAAGTGTACCAGTAATTGGTGGAAGAGGTGTGGTAGTCAGGTACAAGCCGGAATCCTAAGAACTGATACTCAAGGCCGTTACCCAGTCCCCCTTGTGCCCGGAACTGCCGAGCAGCAGCTACCCAGTCTTCTAGGCGGTGGTTCCGTTAGGTGAAGATGTCGGGATTCACGCAGGCATGATGAAGCGCAGGCATGATGAAGCGTGATGACGCCATTTTCCCAGCACTGCCGTAGTCTCCCTATTGCGTAGTAGGGTCATCTGTGGTGGCAGCACCGCTAGCAAGCTCCAGCAAGGCCGGACGATGGTGGATGGGGTCCATGTCAAGAGCCTTAGTCATGTGAAGTTTCAAAAGTCCCGTTATTAAGGGTGTAGAAAAGTTTGGGACTGAAATTAAGGTTCTGGGGGGACATGACCAACAGCAAAACGACTGATTCGTGCATGTGTTGCATCTGAAACTGCATGTGATGTGCGCTCACCGAGTGTTTCGACAACTCTTGCGCCGGGTCGTCCTTCGGTCGTCTTTGTCATGACGGAATATCATTCCATCGCGATCGCTGCAGTGTGTTTTACACTGGCAGCCAAGACTTAAAGATCAATTCGTTCAAACCCCGAAGCCGAAGTCACATCACTTCTTTAAGAAGCTTTTGATGTCGCCTTCATCCTGTCCAACAGGCTACATTCATACATAACTTCCAACTTCAAACCCTTGCATGGAGGCACACAAACAAGCATCACTATATAATGCACTGGCCTTGGCCGCAGTACCCTTGGCCTTGGCTTTTGCCTTTGCTTTCGATTTGGCCGGTGCGGCCTTTTCCTTTGCCTGACAGGCCAGCAAAACCATATGCAATAATGAGGCATGCTTTGCCCTACTACCAACACACAATATCCTGCCTTGGCTTTGGGTGCCCGAACAGCTGGCTTCTTTCGGGTGGCTTTGGGAACTGCTTCGTCATCCGATGGCCTTACAGAGATATGAGGATAGAACATTAGAACATTGGGAGTGTAATTGGGAGGAGGGAGCGGGCGAGGGCGAAGACCGTAGCAAGGCATCTAGTGATATTACGAGCATATAGAAACAACTTGAGTTATTGCTTTCGTGACATTGGCTGTCCTGGTCGCCGGAGTCGACGGCGCCGGCTCTGCTTCGGATGCCTCCGCTTCTGCCTCTGGCTCTGATTCCTGCATCAGCACCGTTGCTTCCTCGGCCGCTTCCGCCACATTGGCTTCCTCGCAATCCATCATATCATCCGGATGCCGCATCTGCTGTTTCACTGCATCGGCCGCTTCGTTGATTGATTGAGGGTTCGCCGTCTGATCCGCGACGGTCGCCGTGACCGGAGTCATCGCATCATCCGGCTGCACCGGCACTGCCAATGCATTGGCCGCATCCGCCAAATTGGCGTTCGCGGGATTCATCTTATCTTCCGGCTGCAGCATCTGCTGACTCGCTGCATCGGGCGCTTCCGTAACTTCCGTATCCTTGACCTGCTCGGGATTCGGCGCATCATCGGTCACCTGGGCTGCTGGGGGGTCCATCTCCTTATCAAGATCCTGCATCTGCTGACTCGCTGCATGGGCCGCCTCCGTCAAATGGGGTGGCTCGGAATTCACCTTATCTGGAATCGTCTGCTGATCATGATTTGCCGCTTCCGCTGTCTCGCCCACTGAAGGGCTCATCACACCCAGACTTCCCGGGCCCTGCGTCAGCATGGCCTGCTGAACCGATTCATCTGCCGCTTTGGCCAAAAGGGCTTCTGCTGCATTCGTGGGAACCCACTCCAGCGCTGGGGCTGGCTTTCCACCACGATCTGCCTCTGGACTTGATGCTTAGGTCTCAAGCCTCAAGCCTCCAGCTCACTCGTATGGTTTGCTTCAAAACACTCGGATTGCAGCCAAGGTTCAGAACCAATGGCAAGGAACTGAAACCAAGAGATAAGATCTTCCAGGTGGTCGCCGCCCTCAGCTCCGAAAGAAAACTCTTCAGCATCAGGCTCCTCACCTCCGAAGTACATGTCATACATGTGCTGAAGGAAGTCATCGAAGCGAGCATGATTCTTTGCGAAAGCCAGATGCTCCTCAGTCTGAGCCTTTGTCCAGGCTTCAATCTTTGCCCGCAGTTTGTGGTCACCATCATCTGCAGACCCTTTCTTGGCTGCGGCCGTGGCCTCGTGGAAGCCAGCGGGGACACCCGTGTCCTCGTGGAAGCCAGCGGGGATAACCTTGTCCTCCCTGTCCGCCAACTTTTTCATGTTACCGTCTGCAGCACCAGCGTCGACGCCATCATTGAACTTGAGTTTATTCAACACAATGGACATCACCTCCGCACCCATATCCCTCAATCTCACAATTCGACCGATTCCTGGCCAATGCACTATGCACACACTTACACACTGGTGGCAGACCATGCAAACCAAGGCACGCTGAGTACACAGTTCTGTAAAGTTGATAAGCCCGGTATGCCGTTGCATTGAAGAACATGGAAGTGGCACGAATACCAAGGTTGTGCTGGGCTAGGGCTTTGTCCACGGTCAAGCAGCAGGGAGGGAAGTAGACTACGTCTCCCGGCAAGAGCGATCCCATGCGGAGGCTTCGGAGACCGTCTCGACATTCATCCTCCTGAGCTGCGAAGTCCTGATTGGCCAAGAAGGTCATCACTTCCTGGCCGGCAAGGGCCAGGGCCCTGTAAGCTTTCCTGCCTGGTTACACACATTGATTTACATACCCATGGTTTCCTGCAGGCACGGCAAACCGGCATCAGCAGAGGAAGTCGCAGAAGACTTCTTGGTAGAGCGGTACCAGTCAATAGCCTCCTGGATGTCGATCGCGGCCAACAACTTGTCCCCTGAGGCATGGTAATAAATGCTGCCGAGCCTCACTGGCAAGAAGCCAGCATAAGTGGAGTGCAGCTTTGCACCCACAATCGCGAGTCCAGAAATTCGCAGTTGGCTCTTGGCCTTTGCATTATCATCGTGACCAATCTCAGCGAACCTCTCACACATGATACGTCAAGCAAGGGGCACACAAAATCACGCACGGCGTGCCAAGTGCCAGGGTCCACAACTCGTGACACATGACACGACCTGAGTGACCTGAGTCCGGGGCTTCTTGGCTACCTCACCTCTGTTGAGAAACTGCAACGTCGTACAACGCGACTCGTCAACCTCATGCATCATGAGGCCGTCCAGCCCAAGCGTGTCTGCGGGTCCAACCATCATGCGCACTTGGCGCTCGGGGAGTGGCTTCTTCGCTTGCGTCTGCTGTGCGTTTGCCGACTGTGCCGCCTCAAAATCTGACGCAAAGGAGTTCATATCTTTGACAATCTTCTTGTTGAAATTTTTCACCTCTTCTTCGTTGATTCCTGGAGACGCCTCTGATCTGCAATGTTAATCGTGATTGATCACAAAACATTTAAACCCTTATCTCCAAAACTTCCAAACTTTGAGCCCACATCACATCGTGAAATCAACAGCTCTTCTTCAGCCGTGTTGCTTCCACTATTACTCCGTCTCAGGCGTGCAACACAAGTAACCATACCGGCAGTTCTGCGCACGTGGTCCAGAAATAGATTCAAATCGTTGAAGATTTCCAACTCGAACGACTTGTCATACACAGCATTTGCAGCGGCAACCAAGATTGCAGGGTCATCATCAGTCATGTCGCCGGTGGCTCCCCGAGCCTTCCGGCGCCGTTTCGCCCTGTTCACTCCATCGACCCCATCCAGCGCCTCCGTCGCTGCGCCTTCACCAGCAGGTTCATTCTCCTTCTCTTGCCCGTTTTTCCCCTTTCTTTTTTTAGCAGCGGCTTTGGCCTCCGCCTCCTCTTTCCTTTTTGCTTTCTCAGCATCTTGCTTAACCTTTCTCTCATCTTGTTTCCTTTTTTTCTCATCCTCCTTTGCCTTTGCCTTCTCCTCCAACTCCCTGGCCGCTAGATTAGACTTCCACTGACGACACTCTGTCGTCAAGGCATTCCCAACGGTTTGAAGGACATGCAGGGATTCCTTGTGCGTGGCACCAAGCACTTCAACAGCCTCTGCCGTGCACTGCAAGTCTAACAGCACACCTCTGGTGTAATCAATTTGCCCCACGGTCTGCACATGCTCAGGCGACCAGCCTTGTTCGGCGAAAAACTTGTCCTCACACAAAAGTTTGTGAAGTTTCCCCGAAGAAGCCTCAGTCGGCCGCACATAGCTGCGATCATCCAGCTGCTTTAGACAAGCACGACGATGCTGGACGGTTCTCACGGCCGCATCTTGAAGCACTGCATTCTCCAGCGTATCGTAAGCACCCTCGGCCTCTTTCAGCATCTCTTCTGCCTTCGATAGGGCAGCTGGAATTGCAGCCATCACAGCCGTATATGGTTTCACAGTGTCCCTGCGAACAGTGGATGCGACCACTCCTGGCAGCTTTGATTTGCCAGCTTTTGGCTTTGGCTTGGCTTTGGCTTTGCCCCTGCCGGCAGCCCCGGCTGATTGGATAGCAGCATTCGTCTGGACATTCAGGGCAAGTTTGGCTTGGCCTATCTCCGGTGTGTCCAGAATGGCGAAGCCTTGATCGCACGTGTCGTCATCCAAATCATTCATGGACTGCCTGATGTCTCGTGCCATAGCCGCCAGCTTCTGGTGTTGAAGTTCGGTTGGGGCTTTCACCTGTATCTCGTCCTCCTTTCTGACGCCTTCGTCCTTCAAAGCAAGCTTCAACCAATGGAGGTAAAAACAAACTAACCAGGCTCGGTTCCCTGCTGCACAGCTCTGGCAAGCCCCCGAAACAAGCGTCCTGGTAGTGGACCAGATCCTTTTCTTCACCTTCCGCTCCTACTCGATGGATCCAGATGCGCATTACCTCGGTCCAATGAATAATCCACTCCAGGCTCCAGGGCTGCCCTATATACCCACTCAATGCATTAACATTCCCCCCAAACCCTAAACCCTATAAACCCAAACCCCCCAAACCCCAAACCCAGCCCAGGCACGTCCGGCCCCGGTGTACCGTCTGGCAAGTTTGAGGGCACTTGATCTTTGACTTTCAGCGGATCCTTCAAGTCGCGAAGCCATGCTTGGTCTGCCGCTTCCTCAGTAAGTCCTCGGCGATGGGCCGGGGCGCGGACAACTCACAAAAACCTCAAACGACTGAGGTCAAGGACTTCTGTAGATCGGACACTTGGAAGTGAACCACTCCATGTACTCCTGCTTGCACATGGGGCAAGCACGCAGTCTTGACTCGATCCTGCAGCCAGGGCAGCCAGAGTCAGAGCTAGGCGAGTTGCATGCACACCAGCGGACCAGCGCATATCCTTCGCCCCGAAGACAAAGAAGAGATCACTCGGGAGAAGTCGTAGGCACGTCGCGGCTTCCCTTGGCGACCCGGTTTGGGACACCTGGTGGCAGTAGCACTGGCGGCCCATGACTCGTTACACGCGCACAACCCGTGCCATTGACATGTAAGCCGCAGATCTAATGCAATCGGGGCCAAGCGTCTTGACACTGAAGTCTTTCAGATGTTCAACGAACTCCTCCGGCTCTTCCCGCTCCATGCGCACGAGCCGCTCCTTCAACGACTCCACGGTGGACTCCACCTCTGCAGCCGGATCCATCGTAGCAGCTGCGCCCTTTTTCTTGGCTCGCTTCTCCTCGTTCAGCTGATCCGTGCGTGCAGCCTGCTGAAACATCGCTGTGCGATCGGATGAATGATCGCCACAAAGCTGGATTGCCCTTGGATCAGAATACATGTCATGTCTCATGAATGCAGCCGCCAGGGAAATGCACTATCCACGCATGCTGGGCCAGGCGGCATTGCAGCTTTCAGCATTATGGGTTTCTTGCAGACGGCACAATGGGTGCACATCCAATCTGGGCAACCCTCCGTCGCAGCAGCCACGAGACTGCCGGTGCCAGCCCCAGCGGCCATGTCGCCCCCCGCTATCAGGAATCAGCACTAACGGAAAATGCCCCCACGGGGTCCTTGGGCAAACCAGATCCAAAATGGATCTGCAGACAAACGAGAACTCTGCAACATGCCGCAGGCAAACATGCACTGGAATCTGAGTTTAGTGCCGGGCAACATGCCGCACGCAAACATGCACTGGAATCTGAGCTTAGTGCCGAGCTGGACTCGGACCAACACTCTTTCTTTCAGCTGCTGCAGCAAATCCTGATCTGCTGTCTGCCGCTGCCTGTTTTCAGGCCTTTTGCTGCACACATACACATGAAGTATTCCTTCATACTACAGCTTCTGGGCGCGCACCAACACAACAGTCCATATGGCACCAAGAACTGCGCAATGCATCGAGTTCCCTGCCAACTTTCGTTGTTCAGCGTCCGAAACCCGTGACATATCATGAATTGGAAACTTCTGTCCTGCACAATGCCAGGGGTATTGGACGTGCCCCATAGCATGCAAAGTCTCCTGACACAGGGTATCAGGTTAAGGTACAGGGTGCCAGTGCAAGGCTTTAGGGTTTAAGGCTGTATGGGTTAAGCTCAGGGGTCCCAAACTAAGGGGTGGCTCGGGGCTGGGGGCGTGGTTTGAACTGTTACAATTGTTAACTTTCCGCATCGATGTGGTCACGTCAGGATGAAGTGCAAGCTGAGCAAGCAAAAGCGGCAGAGAAGGTCTGCAAGCCTGCGACAACTACTTTGACAGAGACTCTGCCAGGAGTGTCTTCATGTGATGTTGGGTAAGTGTATCTTAGTAGTTCATGCAGACACTTCAGGAGCGAAGAGGTGCTGGCTTCGAGGGTACAAGGAGCATGAGCGAGTTGCCCGTGCATTCGCGACAGGCGGGCTCATGAGCATGTAGCCACGTTTCTGATGATCTCGAGTGGATGTGATCGTGGCAGGTGTAGAGAGTCTGGTTGCGAATTTGGGACAGAACCCGCGTGCTCGTGCGGTGGTTTCCAGCTACATGCCCACACTGCTGACTTCGGGAATGATGTGGTTGCTGTTGCGTCCTGATGCAGAAGATCCGAACCGCTGGAAGAAGGAAAGGTCACACGAATATCCTGCGGCGCCGCGAAGATGTCAGACACCGGCAAGCTGCATTTTCTGTATAGTGACTGGAGCGTCTCGCTGAACTCTGTCATGCGCATTGTTGCTCTTCTTGTCAGGACCGTGTATAGCCTCCTTGCTTCTTCAACAACCATACTCAGAAAAAAATCAACCTTCTATTGTTGGATCGGAAAACACATGAGACAACGAGTTTAAAGGTCTCCAAAGTTGCTGTCCAAATCTCGGCCTGTACAAAGGCCATCCGAACATGTGCGGGGACAAGAGTTGATCACGATCACGGCCGTCTGCAGTCTTCGCACGATGCACATCATAGCCACCCAAGTACGATTCAAATAAGTGCTTCGCGAACCCCGCTGTACATTCGTGAAGGATAATGTCCTGGCAACTGCCCAAAGAAGTTCAAACTTTCTGTCATGGACCCAAGGCATATCAGACTAAGAACTCCCTTTGGCGATCCTCCTGGCAGATGACCCGCTCGGCCATCCAAATAACCAGGCTTTCACAGTGAGGGCCCCAAAGGCCCTGCATCTCCTCGATGTCACGCACACACGCACACACACACACAGACACAGCTTCACAAACCATGAGCGCCGGACACCCATCTGCGACATGTCGACACATACTGTACCAGCACTTGCCACTCGCAGCCGGCCCCGGTTGTGTAGCCCCCGCCTCACAGCCCCCACTGGCGTGATGCATTTTTTCATGTCGGACATTGTCTTCCTCTTCTTCCGGCCAGCGTCGCGAGCAGAATCTCTGGCTGCAGCTGTGGCTGTAGTCCTCTCGCATTTGCAACAAGAGGATTCGCTTTTCCAAATTTTTTCCGAGTCTTCTTCGCTCAACAGGAACGTCATGAAGCGCTGGAACAAGAGCTCGCCGTAGACCGAGCTCAACCTTTTTATCTCGGCTCCCACATCTTCATCCATGTCCATTTCACCTTGAGTGAACAGGAACAGCAACAACAACCACAACAACAGCATCAGCCAAAGGCTCGTCGACAAACATTGCACTTTAACTGACACTGGCACCGGCACCGTCTTTCAAGCTTGCTACCAAGATGCCCGACTATTCATCTCCATCCACGTGTCGACAAACATTGAACTTTAACTGACACTGGCACCGGCACCGTCTTTCAAGCTTGCTACCAAGATGCCCGTCTGACTATTCATCTCCATGCTTGTGTCTTGTCGTATCTTCGCCAATCGATCCAGAGCAAACTGATACAAGCGATCCTCCATAGAGATATGCACATGGGAGACCGAGTGCTCCTGCCGCCAGCACGGTGGCACCCCTGCCCCCCCCCCTGACGGGCACAAGGCGCAAGCACACTGATGGATTCGGCCAAGAGTACGAGTGCAAGAGGAAAAAGAGAGGCATGTTGTTCATGTTGTAAAAGTTTGTCAGATTGTGGCAACCGTACAACTTGTTTGTATAATCTGGACACCACAGGGGGCCTGTCCTCACACTAATCTTGGCACCACAGGGGGCTGCCGAAAATTGCGCAGGTACATGACTGAGCGTCCTCAATCACTTCCCTTCCAGTGACCTAGCTTCGTTGGATCAGGTCAGTCACTGGAAGCCTGATCCCCCTGCAACATTTGAATCGTTGAGTGTCAAATGTCTGATTGTGTTGCAAAGCAAAATTGCAAGCAGTGTAGGAGTGACCCTCTGCTCCCATGTACTAGGGAGGTTCACACACACACAGCCCCAATGGGGCGTGTATGCTTCAAGTAGAGTGAAATGTCTGATCCATGGCAAAAAGTGATTGGCGCACTTTTCTCGCTGTCACTAGCGGTCGGGTGATTGTCGTGTTTCCTGATCCGAACAGGTTCTAACAAAAAGCACCGGCTTCAGCGTGGCTAATGTGGTGACTGAATCCCAATCATGTAGTCGTCGACGGTTTTGTTCGAAGAAGAAAGCAGGGATTTTAGGAGTTCTGCCGGTGATCTCCTTGATGCGGTAGGAGAAGATCTTGCGAGCTTGTAGAACGTTGTCACCCAGACAAAGCACCACGTGTAAGAGCATGTGCTTGTCTCTGGTAATGCGGTCGGGTGGAATTTCAACAGTCATCCGAAAACATTGTCCTGCCATGGAGTACCATGGAAGGCCGGCCTCAGCAGCCTTTCGCTTTGTCATGTTTTGCTGCTACCAACTGACAAACGCTTGAACAAGGAATGCAAAACAACATGGACATGTTGTGTGCTCAGGAGACACAACCAAGTAGTGTCTTGCTGACACTCGCATGCGAAGGCTTTTTTGTCACGCTTAGCGGAACTTGCAGCCCTAGTCCGTCCTGAGAATTAGGTTCCAACATCGAGATTGTTGGGACAGTCGCTCATGATCTTGAAATGGCATCTACATCTGAAACCTGCACGTACCAGCATTTTTGCACAAGCGGTTTTGGACCGCTTATGTTGAATGATAGGATGCACAACATCGTAAGGTGCAATCGAGTCAGAAGACCAAGGATCTCGCGATGGAGATCGGTGTGCGTCCTCAGCCACTTGTGGCGTTGCCGTAGGTGAAGCTGATGATGTTGAGTGCGAAGAGCGTGTCCTCTTTCGTCTTGTAGTATGTGGATGTTGGTGTTGTTGCTGTGTTGTGGAATGGGATGCTGGTGAAATGTTGCGTGTTTTCTTTGTTTTCACGATTGTTCTGTCCTTTTTGTCTTTGTTGTCTTTCTTCTTTTTTGTCTTCGTTGTGTGCTTTGTTTTTTGCTTGTGTGTGTGACTAACTGCATGGGAGGATGTGGCGGTGTCATCCTTCCTCAGAAAAGCATCAATCTCTTCGGATCCCCATAGGCTGCTGTCATCGTCTTCGTCCATATGTGTGCGATCCTAAATATGTTACAACAACTGTAGTTCTGAGAAATGGCTGCGGAGTCACAACTGCATTGAAGCATGCGTATGCGCTGATCGTCGGAAAAGAGAGAGAGGGAGATACCAATAAACGTCACTTGAGCAACCTCACCGGCTGGCATGATCTTTCAACATAGTGCTCTTAATGCTGGCCCTCATCAGGGATGATGGGGTTCACATCACAGCTTTGCTGTGTGGTTGTTGGCTGCCGGGGGCAGCAAGTATGCATCTAATTGTCAACTCAGCAATGCTGCTCACGGAGTTCTTGATCGCTTTCTCTTGTTGGATGTAGGAGATGAAGTAGTGGAAACTGGCTCCTTTTGGGTAGAAGTCGTTGAAGTCGGGAGCTGATCAGGTTGCTCCGAATGCTTTCGTATCCACTCTGCAGATGCGATGAAGTACTCACGCCACCATGAAGAGCCGTTGGTGGCCCAGTGCCATCTCCATTGTGATGCCGTGGGAGATCGTGATCTGGTGCGGCGGTCCATGGTGCTAACACAACTGGTTGTTTTGCAAAATGCTGCGGGAAAGAGTGTATCAATCGCTGCATGCAAGTACATGTGAAGAAAGTGCACTGGCTGTCTCACTTGGCAAAAAACAACGATTGTTGTTTTCACCGTCTGCTGCAATCACCCAATGGTGGTATAAATCATGTTTGATCACCTATTGTTGCGAAGCTTCGAGTCTTTCCACTCGTTGCTTTAGCTCTGTAATCTGCCGGGTTGTTTGCAGAATAAACTCGGCTAATTGATCGCGTAGAGCCTCATCACTGAATGTGGAAGGTTCACTTCCGGTTTCGGACTCATAATCCCGATGCTGTGTCAAAATCTCCATGAGGGCTGCGGAGAGAGCTTCACGTCGTG